AGTATAGACTTTAAAGTTTTATTGTCAACAAAACTCAATAATGGAAGCTATGGTGTTCGTGAGTTAAACCAATTGAAAGCTGACTCGACTGGCTCAGTCTGGGCGATTTATTTCTTTTTAAATTTAAAATTAAATAAAAAAAATAGCGAAATGGAGGTGTTAACGCAAAAATCCCGCGAAATCACCCAGACTGGACGTTTTGCTGCGTCCTCTGTGGTTAAAGCAGGAACTAGTGTGTTTTCATACTAGTTTTTATATTAATGAGCAGAATGACAGCCAAGAGCGTTATCCAATCAGAGTAATTTGACCATTCAACTATATCTAGTTAACCTTTGTACCTGAAGACGTTCCCTACAAATTATTCTAATGAGAGAAGTAGTCTGCGTGTAGCTTTATCTCGCCTGGGTTACAGTGAAGCGCGATCTGCACAGAAGACCCACAATGTTACTTATTATGCAGCGTGCACGCCCCTACTCCTTTTCTGTATCTGTTCAGTGATGTCACTGCATATCATGAATAAATAATAGCAACAGATTAGCTGCAAATAAGACCAGTCTGTGGTGGTTGCACGTTCACCCCACCTTTCGCAAAACTAGCTCGGCCAGTCTAAAAGCTGACATATTGCACCATTTATTGACTAAGTTATTATTTGTCTTCACTACAATAAATCCCATCATGCATTGCTGTTCAAATTCTGTTTTGGGTGCAAACAGGTTTTTAAGTTCTCTTATTTCTTCTGTTCATCTTTGGATTTGTTAGACCCCCTTAACGTATGTTTTATTCTGCTGATATCATGTAGGTATATCCAGCAACTACACTGATGACTACCCTTACAGCTGGTCTGTGCCTGCTTTTCATCCATCAACACAGAAATACAAAATGAAAAAAGTAAGTATATAAAGATAATGATAATATATGTGTTAGTGAGTTTAACTTTGTAGGATTTAAACACTAAATTGAGTGAGTGATCTCAAGACAGCCCTCAGAATATTTTCCTTAGTTGCCATTGGCAACCAAGTTCAAATCATTGTTGGATAACTGGAAAATTCAGTAACCAAGTAAAAAATTGTTGGTTGCTAGAATACAATGTGTTTTACAAATACATAATGAGATACACAGGAACACAAATTATGTTAAAAATTCAAATATTTCAGAAGTATTATTATTGACAACAACTTTCAATTGCATTTACTGGTATTCATCAACATCTGTTTTCCAATCCTGCCAGGTTTGTCCAGGACCCGATGGTAACCTACATATGAATCTTATCTGTCCTGTGGATGTGAAAACCCAACCAGAGGCATCACTGCCAGATATACAAAGCACAGAATATGCTATTGAATTACTACGCAATATCTCACAACAACAACAACAACAAACGAAAGGTAGCCAACCATTCTTCCTGGCTGTTGGTTACCATAAACCGCATATCCCATTGAAGTATCCCAAGGAATTCCGTGACTTGTATCCTTTGTCTTCTATCAAGGCTCCTACGAATCCGGATTACCCAAAGAAGTTACCCCATGTTGCCTGGGATCCGTGGACAGATGTGAGGCGGAGGGACGATATCAAAGCATTGAATGTTAGCTTCCCTTACGGACCAATGCCAAAACATTATCAGGTATTAAAAGCTATGTTTATTTGTTGGGTACTTTTAATCATCGCGCAATGAATCCATGTTCAGTCATTAACTGGTGCTCGCAGAACCCAAAAGTGTTTTGCATACTGTGAGAATGACAATTTTGATTAGAAGTAACTAAAATGTGAATGGAATGAATAACACTACTATAATTTTAAAAGTTAAATCCAGCATATAATTGATACTTTCACAGTATTTAACACTGATAATTTATTCCGTTTTCATAGTTGTTAATCAGACAAAGTTACTACGCTTCCACAACATATGTTGATAACTTAGTTGGTTACTTATTATCCAGTCTAGAGAAGTATGGATTTGCTGAAAATACTGTCATAACATTCGTTGGTGACCATGGTAAGAAAATTATCGTATTATTTTTATGCATTTTTCATTTAGTTGCACTTGCAGTTTATCGTATGTCATCAGGGCCAGTGTTAAATTGTAACACATTAAAAATCAAATTTTAAATATGGGAATTAAATTTGAGGAACACCTGGCTGACTTCTACACAACTGACAGGAAAATATCCTATTCACTCACTGTTTGTCGTAACATGATTTGATATAATCGTATAAAGGCACCTTGGATGTACTTTTTACCGTAAAATCTGTATTAAACGCCGCATCCTTAATAATAGAAGTCACACCCATTCTTTTTGAACAATTGAGAACCACAAATTCATCATTTCTCATACGTGTAGATGCTCTAATAGAAAGCGCATTCATTCTGTTGCATTGTACCATTTTAATAGCAGCTGCGGCTTCTAATTCAGATTTTACAATAGTTGCTATATGTTATTATGAGAAGGGGATTATTTGCAATTCAACATCTGGTATATTTAAATTGTTCGTTATAAAAGTTTACAATCAGTATGAAAACGTATTACCCATGAAGCAGGACAAAATATAATTTGTGACATCTCTGTATTCTGGCAAGAGATCTCTGCGGCATAACAACTATGTCAATTCAACTTGCGAAAACCCGAAACAAATGGTCTCGTGAATAATCAGATAACCAACACCATGCATGCTCAGTAAGGTATCAAACAGAGGAGTCTAAACTAGTCTTATATTCAATTTGATTCTCTTACTACCGATAGGATGGGCTCTTGGAGAACACCAAGAATGGGCTAAATACAGCAATTTTGATGTCGCCACCAGAGTACCGCTATTAATGTACATTCCTGGTGTCACTGATAAGAAAGATCAAGGTCATCAGAAATTCCCACACATAAATATACTGAAACAATTAAGGTCTGCGAAACTTGATAACAATACCACACAGGAAACACGGAGAAATCGATACAGTAATGCAGAGGGCAGTGAAACTGAAGACATTAATATTTTTAAATCAAAGACCACAGTTACAATGTTCGATCATTCTGATTTAAAAAGTGGCAGACTTGTTTGTAATAACCATGTAGAGCTGGTAGACATTTTCCCAACTTTAACAGATATCTGCGGAATAACCATGCCCCCTCTGTGTCCAAAAAATCCTACAGAGGTCAGGCTGTGTACAGAAGGAATCAGCCTCTCGCCACTAATTGAACAAATTTCCACAAATGATACATTGGCTGATTTTAAATGGAAGAAAGCAGTATTTACACAGTACCCAAGGCCCTCAGATGAGCCACAAGAAAACAGCGACTCTCCTATTTTGAAAGATATTACAATCATGGGGTATTCCATGGTGACTGACAAGTATCGCTACACGGAATGGATTGGTTTTAATAATGTGCAGTGTCAGGGTAACTGGGACGATGTGCACGCAAGAGAATTGTACAAGCTGAGGTCAGACAAGATGGAAAATAACAATGTTGCCAATGATGCACAGTATAAAGAACTTACTCAGAAGTTAGCAAATTTGTTGAGGAAAGGCTGGAGACATGCCTTACCATGATCAATTAATTTTTAGTGGAAGTTATTTTTGTATTGAATTTATTAAGAGATCAGGATTTTAATACTTCACTGCATTTGGCAATTAGGTGTCATGGTATGCCCTCTATGACAGAGCTATGGTATAACATTGAGGGCGCACATGCTTATACAAATTGTCATTTGGTCAGTGATATTCAATTCTGAGAATGAATAAACTGCTACATCAACCTTCTTTCTCATAAGATTACCTCTGAATATTTAAATTATTTAATCACTGAAGACAAGTTATGTTGTATCTGAAATTTTTATTGCAGAAAAAGGAAACTGGCAGTAAAGCATCTATTGTACATCAATGAAAGAGTTTCATTTGTCAGCTACAATCCCAAGCACCAGTAGTCAAGTTCCTATAATAAAACGTAAAATAAAAAAAAAAAGACAAATATTTACATATAAAAAAGATGGAACAGTTAACCACAAGGATGCAAGAGGCAAGTTCTATTAATGAAAATTAGCAACAGCCTACAACATTACCATATATGGAATAATAAACTGGTACATTTTTATTCCACAGTCATTGCGATGTAACATGTTCAATACAAGGTCCCAAGCAAATGTAATATGCATGTAAACAAAATTTGAATGCACACTTGCATAACAACTGACACTTAATCCAATTCAGGTAAAGTACAAATACAGCGCTCAGATAGTCTCTGCTCAATGAACCAACACTTTGTCAATCGATTCATAATACTTTTTGGGTGTATATCAACAATTTTAAGATTTAAAAGAACACTGATGCTTGAAACTCGATTGCAGCAAGCATTGAAATTATTTTTGCTAAATCTATTTTACTTGCGTTGTTGCACGAGATCTACATGTATATTGAACACAATGCATTGTGACGAATGCATGCACAATAACATCACTGCTATTTTTTTGCACAAGATGCACACAGCTTATATTCCAAGATGGCAGACAAGAACATTTGTTTTTTGTAACATTGTTGCAACCATAAGCCCAAAAAGTGTTTTGAAGCTTGCCTGCTGAAGCAATGAATGACCATATTCTACTACATATATGATTTATGAAATGCTTGGTGAATTGCTAAAATAGCTGAAGTGAGCATGCAAAAGCATTTTAAAGAACATTGAGTGCAACATGCATTGAAGCACCTACGCGGTAATCTATTTTATTCAAAGCGTTGTTATGAGCACAAACTAGTTACGCGCAAATAAAGAACAGTCGAAGAGTAATTCCCAAACCCTAAACTAAGCAAAACATTGAAAAGGTGCAATAACTCAAAACATAGAAACGAGTTATATATAAAAAAAAATGTACACTATACAGCTGTCGCAATAAATAACTTGATTTCCAATATTGGCAGATATATACATTACAAATATGCAATCTCCAACCACCATGGTTGAAGTGCTGACATTAATAAGCTCACAATCTATATACATGCATATTCAGCCATTTCATGACCTTCGGAAGATCCATAGAATTTGCTCAAATTAACCAGCCATCATTAGTCATACACAGTATAAACTACATATTTGTTAACAAATGTTCACACCAAACATTTTTGAATTTTTATCGTGTTATTCTCCCCACTGATTTTTGAATTAGTTTAGATGGCAAACATTTAAAAAAACAATAAATCACTTTATTACCCGTGCTACTCTGATGAACAAGATCAGAACCCTGTCACATGGATGGGTAAGAGAAAAATACTCATGAAGACCTAACTTGTTCTTAAGATGTTATGATCTATAATCTAAGACCTAAATTGTTATGAACTGAGATGGAACTACTAAAACATGCAAATAATTTCAAAAATGTTGAGTGTGAATTCATTCCCATATAAGAAATTGCACTCTAAACACGGCAAAAAAGAGCAATTAATGTAGCTTTCTAAAATTTTATTGCATTCAGATCTTAGTAAGGGTGTAAGCTCGCCTTATTTTTACTGGAATTTATTTTAACAAAAAGAACAGTTCATTTTCTTTTGTTCTGGTTCAACTTCAGAGAATGGAACAAGGTATGACTGCCTCAGATGAAAGGGGACAGTAATAAATTCTCAGTGAAAAACCAAGTGATCTACGGTTAACAGAAAGTTAATCATTGCCATGCATTCTAGACATGTATTGTTTAAGTTGCCCAGGTTTAAGACTTTGATCAGTACCAGGTTTAGGCGAGTCATCCAGTGCAGATCTTGTATAACCATTCTCATACAGGTAAAAACGTCTCAGTGCTTCAAAAGTTGCAAACATCAAACCGTGGTAAGGAACAACCTGCAATAATTCAAACATTAGCGTTATTGTTCATGGCCAAGTAACAGTTTACAACATCCTGGCAATCATTAAGGGTACCATATATCTTTAGATTTCACACGGCAAAACCAAAAACAAAACACTCTGTGGCTCAGTATAGCGTATAAATATTTATCATAGTTTGATTTCTCAATAGCTTATTGTCATCACTGCCACAAATACGAGTTGTACAAATGATATATGATTATCTGGTTGCTATACTTAATTTATGTATGGTGTTGATTGTGCAATGAAAAAAGGATGGATTGTTTGGACTTTGCAGCTGTTATACCCAATCCTAATCAATTTTTACGAATTTCCTTTTGGATATCTGAAAATAAATGCATTGATACAATGATACCAATTTTATGTATGTTATTTGTCCAGATGAATCATGCATGAATCTGAGAACACTGAGAATTCCACATCTATTTATGGAAGACTGAGTATGGTAATCTGTTTTCATATTGGTACATTGTAATCAACACTGAATGGTACCAATAACAGTTTCAGAACCTGCATTTAGGCCATCAATTATGTGAATAGAGACACATATTGGACTTTAGAGAACAGTACACGTATCCATGTAGTTCAACAGTTTCAGTCAGTAGGAAACATCAACAGTGAATAAGTAAATATATTTTATGTAGTAAACTTTGTGAATCCTAAAACCAGCAGACGTATACCTTCAAAAGATTTGCTGTCAGTCCTCTCCATAGGCCTACAATACCATGACGATCTATTATAACACGAAATCCCATAGTCAACGAGTGGAACCGCACATCACAACCGCCGTTACCAGGTAAAACTTTGCTTTGGGCCTAACAATAAAAAGGCACGTGTTTTAACTAGCATGTAATTTAACATAAATTCAAATCTACAGTATATGAATGAAAGACTGGTAAACTTATCAAATTTATAAACAAGTGGCTCAGTATAGCGTATAAATATTTATCATAGTTTGATTTCTCAATAGCTTATTGTCATCACTGCCACAAATACGAGTTGTACAAATAAATAGTAAATTTAATATGTACATGTACTACTTTAGTCTAGACAACTTAGGAAGAAGACAATACATCTGCTCTACCATTTGTACCTACTTGTAGTTTCTTTCTAATAGTATCAAAGGGATAAGAAGCAGTTTGTGCAACTGCAGCAGCCAAACATCCATTGAAGAAGTTTTCCGTAGGAGATAACATAAATCGAGGCTTTCTCCACACCATTTCCTGAAGTATTTCATAAGTCATGTAATAAACGCAAGCAAAAGGAACAGTTCCTACAAAATAAAAATCATTGATTTAGGGCTCCAAATTTATTACTTCGAATCTTGTGGCCTTACAGACTAGAAGCACGTCCAATAGAATCAAGAATAAACATAAAAATACAAGTGCTGTAAACTGAATCTTCAAAATATTACCATAGAAACACACGCATGTGTGAATAAGCACTACTAATATCTAGCAAAAACTATTTATCACTG